TATCATGTATTACAAACACATGAGTGTTTTAATACCTAATTATAACAGTTGCATACAAGACTTTATCTATACCAATTATTTGAATCCTTTATAAAATATTCCGAAACCATGGGGCGTTCTAAGAACTTAAAATTCATGAAAAGTTTTGGCGTTGTGGTATAGGAAAGCGCGCGAATGAATATGTTCTTTTTTGAAATTCATAATACTACGCATCCAGCACTGGAAATTTTGGCTGTCTTATAAGCAAGCCCTTGGCGCGGAAGGGATTTACAAAGCGAAGGAGTGTTATTATGAAATATATTTAAAAACAACTTTTTTTTTAATTATGACATTGAATGTTTTAATGTTCGAAATAAGCTATCTGTTTCAGAATCTTTCAGATATTTTTGAAAGCATGGGTGTAGATAAAGTATATTATATTATTATCATCTACCAATGTGATAAGAACTTCTAAATCATTTTTGTTAAGGTAGGGTGAAGTAAAATTTCTAAAAAAAACCTATTATATTAAATAAGGATATAACTCTTGAAAGATATTCTATCTCTCTTGCACGTTACTTACGATAGCATGTGCAAGAGGGACAGAAAGTCTTGCATCGTTATTTGCGATTCCTCTCTTTAATGACACGAGTTATACAGATATTCAATAATGTGTGCCCTTTGAAAGACATAAATGTCTTAATTCTGAATGTGAATCTTTCATACAACACCATGGCTCGAAGTGTGCCGGTTTAAAATGTATTGATTACTATCCGATTTACCGTAGACTTTAACTACAAAACGACAAAGTTTCTAAATTTCGTTAGCGATTTTTAACTTTAAAATGTAACAACACCGTTGAATATCCACTGACGGAGTTCTGTGTATGACGCAGGATGATATGATTAATCAAATTTTCGCGAAAATCCTTGGGATTGTGAGAAAACACGCATAATTAAGGCAATGTCGACTGTCTTTTTTCGCGGCACGCTCGCTACGTTTGATTGGCTCGTGATTCATGGTCACAATACTATCCTAACCTAGTAGTTGTATCTGTTTTTAGTACCATTGATAAATGTCATAGCCATTGTGTAATTATCCACGTATTCGCAAAATCCCTAGGATTTTCGAGAAAATTCGATTTATCAATTTGTTCCTACGACATATTCACTAGGTACTTATACTAGTATATGCATCATTATTTAATTTTCATATTGTTATAAATAACTCAGCCCTTTGATTAATTAGCTTAAAATTTTAAAGACTAGTATCAAATGATTTGAACATCGGCTCAAACGATTACGGTCGGTCCAAATAAATTTATGGTGTTACAGTCAATGTGGAAATAACTTTATATATTTACACTAAGCTAGTATACACTCGTGTTGTATGTAATAAAATATATTCTTATTTACTTATTGATTTTTATGTTACAGACCCATCTGATATGGATGAAACCTTTATGTCCTCTACCTAATCCTCTCACGCCGTCCGAGAACCCAAAGAAAGGCCATATCGTAAATCTAGTTCTTTAAAGTCATAAATTTAATTTTCAAAAATTTGCTGTAGACCACTTTAATGATATTTTTTTGAAGTGAAACTTCTTTACGCATGCTTGACTTGGGCTGTAAGCTGGCGAATGCGTTACGCGTTACGAAAAGTGTGTTCGGGCGAGGCGAACGGGAGTTGAGTGGGGGATATAAGCAAGAGATTTTTTTACAATTTTCTTTCACTCTTTCTCTTATAGCTAGTAAATGAAATATGTATATGTACGTACTTTATATATTGTAGACACATATATATATATATATATACATACAGATGCAGCTAAAGAAGTTTCACTGCAGTCGTGTGGTCATAAGCACACTCGTTTTTATACCGAATTCTGTTCACTATATTTGAATGAAAAAAAAGTTAAGAAAGTTCTGGCATTGTGGTTTCTTTACATTATGTCTTTAAAGAACTAGAAGAGCGATAAGTTTATTGTACAGTGCAGTAGCTCCAAGTCACAACAAAGGGACATAGCACACGGTTCACGCCATTTTAACCCTTAACTTATACGTAATGCGTATGAAAATGTATATTTTTACACAAACCTTGACCCCGTATTTTAACCGCGTAAGTATCTGTCACAACAGCTTCCAAGTCCACGCCGTCTGATCGGTCAAATCTAATTTTGTAAACACTTGCGCAATATCATTCAGTACCTACAGCTGAAAATATCGTTTGTTACAAAAGAAACTCTAAAGCACCAAGGTATAAGATCCAAATTTTAAACCGAAGTAGTGTTGGCTAAAATTGCAACATCGATAATATGACTCTAAAAAACAGTAATGTTATCGATAATATTTACAAATAACTACTAGGCTTAAGAATAGGTAATTGATGAAATTTGTGATACCTTACACCTTCTTTTTTTATATTTTATAATAGCAAGCGCCCGCGACTTCGTCTGCGATAATGTTAGTTTTTTCCTTTAAATATTTTATGTCTCTAGGTTAAACGCTGTCTTTGTGTAAAATTTCATCCAAATCCGTGCAGCTGTTCCTACATGATTAAATCCAACAATCAGAGTTTCACATTATAAACTTAGTAGAATTAATGCCAGCTTATTACTTCACCCACCTGATGTTAAAAGTGTTAGTAGAGTTTTGAGTAGGTATGAAGCTGGTGGAGCATAGAAACACTTAATCCGTGATGTTAGAATATATTTTATAAGTTGTTGTGACACAGGCTTTTACACCAGCAAATACGATATTAATTTATTTGAAGAGGATTGGGTTCAGGCCGGCGAGGTGATAATTACAGGAGCGGCACACTTCACAATTTAGTTATCATATCATTTTGTAGGTAACTAGAAACTACAACGAAGACGAAGAATATACTTTCGTAAGTATTGGGATTATTTAAAGATACTTTTATATATAAATACAACAAAATATTGCAAAAAAAGCAATGCTCTAACGCGCAGCAACCTTTTTTGCAATAAATAATGGCTAAGCATATTTAATTATAAAAGAATTGTTACTCCCAGCCCAACTGGCAACAATTTTATATTACCAAAACGACCACTGGTAAACAATTGATATATTTTGTAATACCATATAATCATTGTCATTATCCACGACTTTGACTATAAGAACCCGGAGTCCGATGAAAGTTATTTGAAGTATTTATATCGACATCTAGTTCGTACATCACTAAAGATGCATATTAGTTTAATGCATAGATCATTAGGCCATTCAAATCCCACCCCTGTCGATTCGTTTATTTATTGATTTACAAAGATGTACTTTATTGTCTATAAAATAAGATCTTGTAAATTGACAACTTTTTGAAGAGGTGCATGAGCCCATATGAGATGTTTATAAATTAGTATTACAGGAACTTTCAGTACCAGTGCTTCTGTTTAATATTTGCAATCTGTTCACATCTTCATTTAAATTCAAGTGCTAAAAATCTTAAAAGTAGTTACCTATTCATATAAGTATTTTCTTTATACTTGTTAAGTTTCATTCATTACCATCCCTACATTGTTATGGAGCAACGTAAGTATTAATGGGATTTTTTATCATACTCCTAATATAGGTGGCGGCAAACTTATTGAGTAGAACCATAGACAAATTAACTTGCACAGTAGAAGTTTTTGCATGTGAAATTGCTACTGCGCATGCTTAATTGTCAATGATTGTTGCTCTTGAGGTTTGCCGGTAGGTATATCTATGACTCCGTTCCAGCTGATGTTATAAGTGAATCTCGAGAGTTGTGAAGATAACAGCAGATACAAGTGCGTATCAGCCACCCAATCAAGTGATAAGTGGGACCTGCCCACAAGGGCGGATCCAGGGGGGGGGGGGTCATGGTGGTCATGACCCACCCCTGGGCTGGGTACATACCTACTTTTTACTTGTATCTTTTATTAACAAAATTTAATTATAACTTCTTATGACTTGACAACGGCTATATGACCCCCCCTGGCGCCAAAGCTGGATCCGCCCTTGCCTGCCTATCCTACTTTTGCATGCCTTCGCAAAAGCTAGGTTATAATATCGATGTATCAATTATGTAGCAACAACTATACCTACGTCCCGGTAAACTTCTTGAGCAACGACCATAGACAAAGAAACCTGCGCAATAGCTATTTTACATACAAAAACGTCTACTGCACAAGTTTATTTACCAATGGTTTTACTCAAAAAGTTTGCCGTTATATAAGTTCATGGCTGTTACTTATAGGTACTAACTGGAAAATAATCCCTCGTTATTAGTACATAGTTCCATAGACAGTTCCATTGCTACTAGCTACTGAAAATATTTGTTTTAACTACTTCCGATTTAAAGTAGAATCGGAAATAATGGCAATGGACCTTAAAAAGTATATTCCTCTAGGTCTTAACTCATAAAAAAATATTAAAATTCTACTGTAATACTTAATTTAGGTACTATCTGGCCCAACAATAACGCTAAGATTAAGAGTAAATTAATTTGGTAGGTTTACCTTTGTCGAAACCATAGAACCATGTCTATTAAAAATGTAATTCAGAAACATGAAATCAATTGATCAATGGCAGTTCCCAATATCCTATCTCGAGTTTTAACGATTTCTTTAAGTTTATTTCTCTGAGTAAACTTTGAAGGCCAACTATATTATGTTAGGTACTAAGGCTATGTCTCTAATTTAGGACAAGCGGCCATTGTCATTACGTAGAGCTACTAAATAATATAAATTAAACATTTGTTTACAAATATTATACAAAATTGGGCGTAATAAACTATTCCATGCAAACATAATTTTACTCATGAAACGAACGTAAAACGATTTAAATGCGCCAAACAGCGTGCGATGCACCAAAATTAGGTCCCACTTGACGTCATACTCCATTCACTGTAATCAAATAAAAATACGTCATACGCCAATTTACATCCACACTTGTTATCCAGTATCCAGTCATTAATCTTTTTTTACTTTTTTATTTTCTAATAAAGATCTGTCAACCACTGTACAGCAGTAAATGAGTTACGGCACACCCACGCGGCCACGTGAAAAATATTCATAAACATCATCAACATATTGATACTTCTTAGCGTGTTCTGGTTAAGATCTAAAATCGTGCCGGCTTTTCCCTTGGCATTGGCAATACGATCTTTGTCAAGGTGGACCTCGGGTCTCCAGAAATAAGTGTTACAGTCTCCAGAAACCAGGAGATTGTGCCAAGACGCACTGCCCTTTCGCCAGTCAACTAAGAAAAAGCGCGCCAGATGGTTCACCGTAATAAGGAGTGCTGCCAATGTGAAAAGTGCTTGTGTTCGTAATTTTAATTTCGAAAAATATTGTTTCTTTTTCTTTTAACTTCCAACAATAACTTTTTATTTATCGTGGCAGTGAAATCGCAGAAGTCCGAAATGGGTGAAGAAACGTATCGCGTCGTGTCTAGGATGGAAGAAATTACAGAACAGGAGGACAAATATTTGGCCGGCGCTAAAAAGGAGATCAGGAACGATCTCACAGTAATTATACCAGAGAACCCATTCCCAGAGATAGAGGTGGACGCGTACCCCCCATTGAAGTTCTCATGGCTGATTCCAAAGAAACTGGCGGCCATGGCATTTCCTAGGAACAAGGAAAACTTGAAATTCCTAGTCAATCAAGGTATCACGCATCTGGTAACACTGACTGCAGGGAAAAAGCCTCCAGTCGACGATATTGCCAGGATAAGATGGAGCGAAATACCAATCGAAGAATTCGGTGTACCAACAGTAGATGATGTTAAAAAATTCATCGACATTTGCAAACGTGCGGACAAGAACGGAGAGGTGAGTGTTTACGAAGTGTTCCTACATTGTAAGTAAAAGCTAGAGTTGTATTTAAGATAGGGTAGCGGTAATTACAGAGAGCCGCCTGGGCCTATCCTATCATTGCTTTGGCTATAGCTTATGATTTCATTTTGTTATTTCTGACCGCCGAAGGTTTTCAAATACCTCATGTATATTTTCTTTGACATTGTTATTACCAGGCAAAAGAAAAAAAGAGCGTGAGGCATTTGTCAGCAGCAGGCAGAAAACCGTCGGCGGTCGGAAATAACAAAATGAAGTCATAAGCTAAAGCCACTCGATCAGTTTTCATCTTAGGTTTTCATTGCTATAAATTAAACATTACTTGTTAAGATGTCCTTTATTGGTAAAATAGAAGAATCATCAAATCATTAATTTGAAACTTTTTGAAAAAAGTAACTGCCTTCTGTTATTTCAATATTTTTTGTTATAAAGGGAGACACATTGGAAACATTAAGCTCGCGTAAATAAAACTGTAATGAGGAAATGAGAATTTGTATGGGTACGAATTAGGAGGAGGGTGTTACCACCGCTATACTATTTATATAATATAAACATACTACATAAATAAATACACTTTACACCAAAGTTCACACTTTGTTTTGATACGGTGCCAACAGTATAAATTTTGTCACCAATGATGGTCTCGGAGTGACGTAAAACATAAACGCGCCAGCGGCTTTCTTTCTCGTGGAAATAGTAAATAAGTAGTAGTCTATTAATATACTTACTTGATTTCAACGATATAGATGAATAACATTATTGGTAGGGTCGAGTGGGGAACAGTGTAACAATGGGCACAGCACATTGTAACGTAAGGAATATTATCTGCCCTTTTCTTATTTTTGTATGGTCTGGATTGACGTTTTTTATGGCAGAACTACACTTATCTGATGTGTTGTGTTGTGACGCGTCAGATAGGTATCGGTTTCGTACATTTAGTATGGTTAGAATGACGTTTGTGTGCCGGAATAGCTTAAAGAAAGAAAATGATTTTTCTTTTATTAGCACATGTGTTGTGATGGCTTCTGATGTGTCGCATCAGAAGAGCCTCCGATTGTATCAGAGAAGTGAGGGTGAGAGGGGTGGGGTAACGGCCGCTTGACGACACATCTAAGGTTACCATTTAGGAATTTTGGACTTGAAAGATTTTACATTCTGTTTCAGACAAATGAGAAGTTAATAAAGATCAAAGATAAATACATATTTTATGTAACTTAAAATACAAATATTACTTAAAACTAAGATCATAAAAGAAATCAATTATCATTTCCAGTTAAACGTGATTTGGCATTTGGTAAATTAGTGATATTTATCTAATATTTACTTTCAATTCAAAAGTAACCAAAAAGTTTAACGTTTTGAATCAAGTAACGCAAAATGTCACAGAAGTTACATACTGGCTACATCAGAAAGCATCAGATACATATGAACGCTACGCATCATATCAGAACCCGTCACAACACAACACGACAGATAAGTATAGTTCTGCCTTTAGTTTCATTTGCCGACATTTTAAGCAGTTGCCACAGACATCAAATGGGACATGTAAAACGCAGAGAATATTGCTTTCAATTTACTTTTATTACACTGAGCCCCTTGTTACACTGTCCCCCGCTTAACACTATTAATTTTGGAGTAACATCTTAGTGTTACATCCGTAATATGCCACCACTAGACTTCAACTTCACTTTTAACGTATTTTTCAAAAAATACGTAAAGTGCCTGGGGCAAGAAGTAAGAAATTTTCTTCAGCCAAAATTGAACGACTATTCCTCTTAAACTAATCTATCTTAACCGTTATAGTTTTCATTAACAGTTCATGAAAAACACTATTATCATGAAATTTTCCAGGTTTTTCAAGCTAATAGTTTAGCTTTTAGAGTGGGGGGACTTGAACAAAAATTGGCACTTAAAAGTTCAATATTTCGCAAACGGATCCCTAAATCGAACAATTTTAAAGATATCCCTCACGACAGGGTAGATGATAAAATAAACCTTTACCAGGTTACATGTAGAGAAGCTATCCTAAAAAAAATATTTTGCCATTTAGTCGGCGTGATCGATATACATACCTCCACAAAATAACAGCTCTCTAGTGCTAATAGTCTCCAAGCAAAACTGGGGACGGACAGACGGACATGACGAAACTATAAGGGTTCCTTGTCAGGTCTGTCTACGGAACCCTAAAAAGGATAGGTGACCAAAACTCACTATCTCTTGCTTCTAAGGCACGTTAAGCCGGCTGCATCTGCAGTCGTTAGCATCCACCAACCCGCACTGGGCGCGTGGTGGGCCCAATCTTCTTATTCTATCCCTATGGAAGACTATTCATCCACAGGAGAGACCCTTTTTGTCCCCTTCAGCTAGCCCTGGGGCTCGCTACCTACGCCCTGAACACAGCCACTAAACACCAGACAATACTCCTGCACCGTCACCCGACACGCACTATGAGGACCGCGGTCCCCCTAGTGCGTGCCGCGAGGGCGGATGTGGTCGCGGAACCCGTCTCCGAATGGCCGCGCCCAGGAGAGACCCTAGCATTAGGGACATTCATAGGCTGATGATAATTTCTGCTCTCTACCTCCCTTGAACTCATTACCTATAGTTGATATAGTTGCGCCCACAGAACAGCTTTGTGGTCTGTTCTGATCTATGGTCGCGCCACAGATTTTATAACTATAGCGATCATTATCGTGCACGTTTATTGTGTTCACTGTCTTGGTTCCAATAAATTTATATAAAAAAATGGTAAAATATTTCAGTTCACTTAATATTACGCATGATAGCAGAAGGCGCAGGTTCGAGTCCTGTCTGATACTTACGAGTGGGGTATCTTGTAATAAAATTTTATTTAGATTTATAAGTATACTAGCTGTCCCAGCGAACTTCGTACCGCCATAAAAAAATAGGGGTTGGTGGTAGAAGGGTGCAAATTTAGGGTGGTACGTATTTTTGTATGATGTATCATAATAAAATAAAAACACAAAAAAATGACAAAAAATATAATTAAAGGTGGACCACCGGTATGAAAAATAAATGTTGTCCGATTTTCAGATCTACTGAATATGCATACACAATTTCACAAAAATCGATCGAGCCGTTTCGGAGTAGTTCAATTATGCACACCATGACACGATAATTTTATATATTAGATTTCATATACTACTACGCTTATCTTTGTGCAGGTGATGGGAGTGCACTGCCGCCAGGGCCGCAGCCGCAGTGCCGTGATGCTGGCGTGCTACCTAGTGCACTTCCACAGGTTCCTGCCAGACCAGGCGATGAACGTAGTCCGCATGGTCAGACCTGGTGAGATCTTTTAAAATTCTTCTAATTACTGCTAAATACTAGGTTGGTAGTCGCGTATGATGTGTAACATTTGAAACCTCACCTTATATTAGTAAAAAAAGAAATAAAACCTACTACAAAAGCAATAAGCCATTTGAACATTATGTTCAAATAGCTCGCGCTTTCGCGACTTCCTGTTACACACTTCCATCCCATTTCACGAAATCACTCCCACAAATTGCAGGAAAGCGAGACGAAAGATGTTACACATCAAAAATAAAACCTACTACAAAAGGAATAAGCCATTTGAACATTATGTTCTAAAATCAAATCAAATAGCGCGCGCTTTCGCGACTTCCTGTTACACACTTCCGGCCCATTTCACGAAATCAGTCCTACAAATTGCAGGACAGCGAGAGGGAAGATGTTACACATCAAAAAAGACAAACATTACTCCAAGAGTCTCCCAACAAAGTTTTTTGCTATATTTAATCTCTTTGTTGATCGTATTCCTGTACCTGTCTATCTGAATGTGATACAGGAGGCCAGGTCTTGTGCGCAGTTCTATACTCTCAGTTTACAAGGTGGGAAAGAGACAGAGAGAAAAGAAAAGAAAGAGAAAGAGGAACGATGCAAAAGGTTAAGATGCCAGACCTTCACTTACAAAGGACATTGTTCAGCGTCCATACATAGTTAGCCTAAGAACCAACAATCATGAAATATTATTTTCTAGGTTCAAAATCGTAAGTAAATGACTGTAAAAATAACGATGATTGACGGACACTTCTGAGAACTTAAATTATTAGGAAAACTATTTTTTTTGAGGTTATGTTTAATATTCAATGAAACCTATGAACCTATGAATTTAGTATGAACTCAGTATGAAGTGAATTGATATTACAACTAATTCATTTTATTCGGTGCGATTTTAAAGAATAACTATTAGGAAAAACTTAGGTTATTAAAGTTGGTAAAGGAATCATGAATAAAATAAAAACTGTAGTTTTGCTTCTTATTTATTGACTATTTTTCACATAATTGTATCATATTGTTTATTGTATTTATTTGTATATCACATGTATATTGTGTAAATATGCAGCGTGAATATGTATTAGGTGTTCTTGAATAATTTGGAAGTATGATCCTCTCAGGATGTTGTGGCACAGGTTCACTAGCACTTGGTAATAAGGGCTCTGCTCTTTGGTAACATCGATGGCATATTAGATAGCCGAAATAGTTAAATTAAAGGTAAAACAATCGCAAATTGATTGAATTGAAATTGAAAAACTTTCCGGTATAATAAACTACTCTTTGGGTACGGCCACAGTTCAGACTCAGAAAACAAGCGCGAAAAATAAACAGTGTAGTTTAAGCAGGTTGCCTGCTGCCACTATGGCCACCCTGCTTTAACTACACTGTTTATTTCTCGCGCTTGTTTTCCGAGTCTGAATCTGAATCTGAGTGCACTCTGGCCGGTACCCTTTGGAATGCACGAATGCCACAGATTACTATGAAACTGCATGCACCACAACCACAGAGTAACAAGTTTTATGCTGGCCCTTCACTTGACAAAAGTTTGTCCTTGTCATGCTTAATAAGGAATGAAAAGGACAGACTGATGTCATGTTTTAAAATAGCAAATACGAATAGCCAAGTGAAATTCCGGCATTAGGAAGAAAGAGTGTTTTGTTTGCAGCGCTGCCATAGATTATACACCTAAAATGGTATTTATTGTCTCAGATTATTTTTTTACTTTTTAATTTAGCATACTTAACTGGAAGTGTCCGTCACAATCTAAATACTGATAATTATCGCAAAAAATATACTAAGAATTATCATAAATGCCAAATTGGTGTTAGTTCTTAGGCCAATTTTAACATTGTCCTTTCCATTTTCACGCCGTGTCCCAATCCAAATATAAGAGTGCCCACACGGTCTAATAGACATACAATATGGTGGAGCTAACTGAGTGGTCCATAACGAAATGTTAAATAAATCTGAGTGTGAAAGGGACGAAGCGATAAAGTGCTCCGGATTCTCTCACCCTCTTATTAATAAACGAAGAATAAGCTTGGATTAGTTACTCCATGTTTTGTCTCTGTACCCTTAGTACGAGTTTGAGCTCACGAAACTATCATAGTTTACGTAATTGTAAATTATGTTTATATGTCCATTTCGGTGAAAACTAACCAGATGATACTTAAAATATAAGAAGACGCAAATGTTTTGATGATAGAATTGAAACACTGTTTATTTGTATTGAAACGAAAACAATAAAATCAGTACCCTTAGTACGAGTGCTCACGAAAACTATCAAAGTTTTCGTAATTGTAAAACTCGTACTAAGGGTTGTACTGTTCATTGAATGACAAATGGCATTTGAGTGACATGAACAAAACACAGAGTAACTAGTCTAAGCTTATTCCTTGTTTATTAATAAAGGGGTGAGAGAGTAATCCATAGTTCGTCTATTTAAGTCTATGTATTGATGGCTTTTTTCTTCTCTATGTCTATTCCCAGGCCTTACATACATATTCCTTTTACTGGTGGTGGTTGTTTGTGGTCAAACTCCTTGCCTATTAAGCATTAAAAAAACTTACTACCTTCAAAACTCGTCTATCTAAATATATTTATTCTAAAGAAAAGTTTTAATAGAAAAAATCCAAGCGGACCAGGCAGCAGACGGGACTCGAACCCGCACCCTTCGCGAAGAGATGGCGCTGCCTTGCAGCTTAAGGATAGGAAAATTTCGACGCGGCCATCAGGGCCGCGGTAGCATAATTGGTCAGTGCATACGCCCGGATTGCGAAGGGTGCGGGTTCGAGTCCCGTCTGCTGCCTGGTCTGCGTGGATTTTTTCTATTATAACTTTTTTTTTCTTTTTTTTACATGTAGCAGTTAAATGCATGCAAATGCAATATATATATATATATATATATATATATATATATATATATATATATATATATATATATATATATATATATATACCGCTCGCTTTACAGGTTCCCTTGAATGGGAGGAGCAGGAGGAGTCTGTGGGCAAATACTTCATGTTCCTGACAGAGGACAACCCTCTGAAGTTCGGCGTTAGCGGAGAAGTTATGGAAGAAATGATAGAATCCGCCAGGGAAGCGACGAACAAAGCCTTAGGCTAAACTAGGACTAATAAAAAATATCGACTAAGTAGATATTATTACTTAAAATAAGTTTCAGTTAGATTTATTATACTAGACGATATAAGACGAGTCCAGTGAGCACCACAACTTACATTATATCACGTTTTTTATCGCCTTACTGTCTAACTCCATAGTAATTAAAGCATATCGTGGTTAGGGTTGCCACCTTTTTTATGTCCAAATAAAGTACATTGGATATTAAAGGTAGAAAAAAAAGTACATTGTGTCCAAAATAAAGTACTTTTTATTCCACTTTATTAGTAGGTAAGCTTAAAAATATATTTTACACTGCTTAAAGCAAATTATAATAAATAATTTGTGGCTACTAAAAATCTGTAGTTCTTATCCGCAATGGGGAAGGCATTTGAACAAAGCCATACAGCCGCGACAATGTTGCAGGAATGAGCTAAGGGCTACATATTATGCATACTTTTGTTCCGTTTTACGTAAAACTTTTTCCTATCCTCTTTTTGTATATTTATGTAAAATTAATCCCCAAACAATCAAATAAAATATTTTCGCGTACTTTATTGTTGGCATAAAGTATAGAGTACAATTACCCGAAATAACGTACAATACTTTATAATAAAGTGCGGGTGGCAACCCTAATCGTGGTGCTCATGCTAGGGGGGCTGGCCCCGTAGCATGAGCAGGGCGATATAATATATAACTCGTTTTTATCATGTTCAATTGGCAAATTACTATGGAGTTTGACAGTCTGACTAAATAAATAACGTGATACAGTGTAAATTGTGGTTCTCACGCTATAGGATTTGGACGCGAAGAAGGAATGCTATATGATCAGGACCGGATTAAAGGCAGGACAGGCGGCGCTACCTTGGGCACTTAGTGCAATATGAAATATTTACCAAAGTGCAATGTATTTATTATTAAATCGTAATATTTTAATTATATCAAACTTCTTCTTTAAATGCGATAATGACTGCTGAACCGATTTAGAAGTTATATGATGTAGGAATAGATTGGACTTTGAATAAGCGTAGGAGACAAATAACCCAAAATCCAACTATATAAGTAGTAGAGCAAAATTCAAAATGCAAGGCTAAGGAAAGAAAATATAGTGATCGTTTGTTGTTAATGAAGATGTGAATATTTATTTTATAGTGTAAGAAATATTAGAGCTTTTTGTAAAATTTTATGGTCAATGCAGTAATGCTTTGAGGCAGAAGAAATTTTGTAAGTGCCGAAGTTTCGATGATTCTGTACGATTGTTTCTGTGTACCTGAGATAATGATTTATTAAACATTGTTTTGTTATGGCGAATTTTTATTACGTTTCCTATTATTTATTTCATGTAAAAAGGACTGAAAATATATGCACATAAAAACATTATGACCACAGAACACAGAACCTCTCTCTATGTTCTGTAATTATGACCCGCCTGGTGACGGCCACCATCATAAACTTATTGATTGCACAATATTAAAATCGAAAACGTAGTAATACAAGTTAATTAGGTATGTTACCAAAGTAGTAGTTGTAGTAGAAGTATTTTTAAAAATCTCTTCGGTGGTGTCGTTTGATGCGGGTCGTTACGTTCCCTAAAATATGGTCATGCTCGTGAACGGGTGCTGCCAGCGGAGATTAGTCTGCTCTATTTACTGCGTTACTATTGAAATGTTATTTATTATACCTAATATTGAATGAATAATACCTAATACAACACCGTTTGTATTGTTACGTTTCCAACCAGTTAAATTTTCTATACCAAATATGGCAATGACATTTCGGACTCGCAAACTATTCGAATTCGATAATCGTTCGTGCTAGGAGTATGTACCCCTTTTTGGAGTTTACTTCTTAAGAATCGATTTGCATAATAATATATAAGGGGCCCGGTATGAGAAAAATGTGAGGAGTGAAATCTATCGATGAATGACCTCCTTACTTTTTTACTGTCTACGCTGTAGCAGCCGTAGTGCTACACCGTAGCACAGTATCGTAGTGTACCTTTATTTATGGACATCTAAAATTGACTATTGTAAAAAGTTCAATGTAAAATATTTCATCGATTAGTTATAATAAATGTATATGAAATGAATAAATATATATTTATATATGTATATTATTTTCATTAATTTGTTAATTTACCCTTTCATACGGTATCAATCTTTTTTAAGTTAAATAAACTCTTTCTGCGTCTGGTTAGACTATCGAACTTAAGAAGTAAACTCCAGTCGTGCGTCGGAGCTGACACACACAATTTTTTATTTATGACTACGCAGGCAATACCTCTATTTACAGTCTTTGGCGCCTTTCAGAGGCACACCAACGAACGGACCACACACCTAGCCTCTCGCAAGTTTCACGTGTCCGAATCGGAAAAGCCGTTAAGCTGTCCGCGCTGTTTACGAGCGCTTGCGGCATACTATCCGCTAAAAAAACCTGCGAATACCTACCCTAATAATACCCTCTACGCTGTTAAGTGCGGAACCGCGAGATCCCCGTTAAGAGGCTTCACCGCATCTCCGAATCCAACTGCCTCCCGGCCTAGCCAGGGCTCCACGGCAGAGATCACCCGGGGTATCTCGGGTGATCCCGCAGACGAGCCCAGGACTGCCCGCGCTGGGAGCTAAGTGCGCCGCCTATTGCCCTCCACGTCGCTCCCCGTCCGAGGGGCACTGTACCCCTAGCACGAACCAATATCTAATGACGTGTCAGTCCGCGACATCCACGGGATTGAGGACGGGATCAGTACCCCTATCACGAACCATTATCGAATTCGAATACTTTGCAAGTCCTGAGAAATGTCATTATCAAATTTTGTATGGAAAATTGAACAGCAGCATCACAACAAACGTTACGAATTCGATATTGGTTCGTGCTAAGGGTAACTGATTCCGTCCTCAATCCCGTGGATGTCGCGGACTGAAACACGTCAACTTCAACAAAGGTAGTGTTCATTTTCAGTATTCTACGTGAAAACAGCTTCTTCAGACGGTCGTTCCAATTTGTGCGAGAAACCAGCTAATGCTCCGTAATAGAGTCATTCGGTAGTTTTACCTGGAAAGTTTTCCGGGAGTTTTGAAAATTGGTAATTTTATAGATTTTGACTTACTCTTTCTGAATTTCGACTTTGCCACCACGTATTTTTGCCGCTCGCGCCACCATATTGGAAAAATGGCGCCTAAAAGCAGTTTTTTGACAATATCTCCTATCCGACTCATTTTACGATAAAAACAGTTATATGTGTACTAAATGAAACTAGAGACAATTGCCTACAATTTATGTTCATAAAGTCAATAGTTTTAGTGTACGAGCGCCGCAAAGTGTACTATTACTATTATGTGATTCTACTACTAGAGTTTGCCATATGTGGCAAACTCTAGTAGTAGAAATTCAAAGTGAGTTCTACTGTATGAATAAGAATTAGTTATGTATAAATAATTGGCACACTATCCCAGTTCTAAAATGTCAGGCACCATCATCAGCGCCAATGCATTTGCCAACTTCACTGGCACACGACCAATTACGCAGCGTAGGTGCACGGCTCTCAAAATATCTAACTTTACGTTCTGTTTGTTTATTTAAACTCTCTTCATTAATTACCGTTATCAAAAGGGGACTTGGAAAAGACTTAGTCTGGAAGAAAAGTGTGGATGCACTCGTTTAACCTATTTAGGTGTCTTCTTTGTGCAGTGTTAAGTGAAGTTTCAATAACGTCAAGCTCAAGGAGCGTGGCAGAGGTATTTCATCTCAAGTCTCGGGTAAGCAGCTGTGCAGTAGTAATGAAGATCTATGTTTCTATGTTTTGTCTTACTACTTTGATTTGTTTTTGCAATTTTAAAAGGGTACTGGCATAATTCATATTTAGGGCTCTTATGCTACACCTGTGATTGTTAAGCAACTTTCGCAATGACCAATCATAGGATCATCATCATCATTAGCCTATTAACGTCCCCATCTGCTGGGGCACAGGCCTTTCCCATAGATTGAATAGGGAGTCTGGGCTGTGCGGATTGGTGGGTGCTACCGACTGCAGATAATAAGTTTTAGGTCACCCATCCAAGACTGGCCATTGCGAAAGTTGCTTAACTTCCCCGACCTCAGGGCGAACGGGCTGACCACCTGCAACCATCAAGTTCCTCGATCATAGGATAGATGACCCAAAATTGATTATCTCGTGCTTCGAATCGAAGGCATGTTAAGCCGTTGGTCCCAGATGAAGATGCATTCACAGTCGTTAGCACCCAAATTAGCAGTAATTAGGTCCGCGTGGTTATATCTCATTCTCACTATTTCATCAATAGGAAAGGCTTGGTGCCCATTGATCATCTACCTAACCCCATATTCCCAAAATTGTATAATTAAGCTATAGCCTTGTGTCACGTAAAGGATACTGCTACCCCAGCGTGCGCTGCATCGGCGGGCTGGTGGCCTTCTGTGTAAGAAAGTTACAAATTCATGAAATATTGGGTGAATATTTTGATAATTTTAGTACTTAGTAGAATAGACTACCAACTGGAGGCAAAAGCCGTTTCAATTTGTATTTCCTAAACGGACTCTACCTAGTCCGGAGCCGCTGACTGGTCTATACCTACTTACTTACACAGCAAGTTATATTAGAATATAAAACATAGAAATAACAGAATTCTTTTTATTTTTCAGATCAATTAATTTTAACTAATAAATACGTAAACAATGACAATGAGCTCATCCAGGATGCGCACAAACGTAAAACTGGCTAGACTGTTCTATAAATACTTGGACGATCCCAACGAATCTAAAGAACAACCCAAAGATGTACCATTAGCATCAGCTGCAGACGAAAGCGCAGATGCAACAGTCGCCAGTGAGGAAAAAAGTTACGAATCATACCCCCCCTTCAACTTCTCCTGGTTCGTCGAAAAGAAGATAGCCGCAATGGGTTGGCCTCAGACAGTGGAAAATCTAAACTACTTAGCAGATGTTGGGGTCGATCATTTGATTACGCTATCGCCAGAAAAGCTGCCACCGATTTTGGATTGCAAGAAGCGAATGAAATGGTCGGAAATACGAATAAAAGAGTTTGGCGCGCCGACGTTAAAGCAGATCTTGAAGTTCATAGAAATATGTGAAAGGGCGGAGATCAGGGGAGAGGTGAGCGGGTTAAGTCCTCTACCCACTACCCACCATGTTGGATCCAAGTCCTCTACGCACTTGGGTGCTAACACTATATGCAGTCTGGATTACCGGCTTAATGCCTTGGAAGCAAGAAGGAGCTGCCGGCCTATTCGCAATTTCTTTTTACATTTACAGTAACTAAATAGAGAATTGCACATCCATTGGTGCTTTTCAGATCAAGTATCTTAAGTGGCGTTATAATAAAGCAGTAGTGGATAACTAAATAGCTCGGTGATTATCACTTCCATCTGTCAAAAGCAGTAGCGAATAGGCCTGCTGGTCCAGCATGAGGAACAGCGCTATACACGTAAAAGAGATGGAGATACAAGATCTCTTTTACGTGTACAGCGCTGTCCCGCATGCTTGATCCAGTAAGATGGATAGTGCGTAAAGGATGGGAAACAAGATTGTGTAGTGATCAGCGCACGTGAAGTGAAGCAACTTTCGCAATGGGCAGTTATATGATTGGTGATATAAAACAGCTAGTCTCCAACTCCTCCGTGCTTCCAAGGCTTTAAGCCGGTGATCCCGGCTGCATATAACGTTAGCATCCACCCGTCCGCATTTCGCCCGTGTCATGACTCAAGAACGTTACGTTCTCCCTATTCCGTCAATAACGAACTGTTATAACCTGCCTACCTAATGCCTACTACAGAAATGTTGCTGACTTAGGAAAACTATAATGAATAATTATTTCCAATATTAAAATTGTGATCAGCAATATTTTATGTATAAAAACCCGCGATTTCAATATTACAGTTAGTCTTGTTCTGATTTGTGGAATTGCTGCCCAACAACGGACCTGGTTTCTGCCTGCCGGTTGGCCTTCAGCAAGGAAACTCTGAAGAACTATTCAACGGCCTAGTAAACTAGCCCGTCGCGATTCGTTATCCTTAAAACTAAAAGGAAGTAGTAGTGAACAATAAAGTGATAGCAGTGTTATAACAAACATAAATATATAAATAAAGTGATTGTGAGCAAATAAAGTTTTTTTTTTAAATTAAACTAAGTGCTCCGTCTAACATTTGGTGTCAGAAGAAAGCAGGGATTTACTCCCTGATGGTCGCCTACTCCTGACGACGACCAGAATCACTGCCGTCGATATAAGCCCATCCCGTGGGTTTGCTTGAGCTGCCAGCCTGCCGCCCGACCGTCTCTCTGACATAGAGGTGTGTCAGCCACTCCAGCTACAACCATCGACGATCATCATAACTACTGACTGACTTCGCGTTGATGTGCCGAGGGTTCTTTGCCCAGCGCAGCACACAGAAGAAGGCTCCGCACCACTCAGAAGAAGACTCCGCTTCAACCGTGCTAACACATAGCACGACTTCGTTTACGCATCGAGTATTTACTGCATAACTCCGGATAGCCGGCGCTAAGCCGTCTGACCTACTTATCGCCGCACCGTGTATCGCTGTATCAACAAATGACCGCGATACTATTTCTGTGAGTGCATAATAATAACGTTATATTTTAATCAACTTATTCCCTCTTAATTGGATTATTTTTTTTTTGTTCTAATCTTAATAAAAAGTGATCATGGCTAACGAAAAAGTAAAATTAGAACTATCTGGGTTGTCTAGCGTAACTGTACCGGGTGAAAAAGAAAACACATCTGTAAGTTTTCTTACAAAATTTATAAAGCCCTTCGATGGGGATAGAAATAAATTATCGTCATTTTTACGTAACTGTGACAATGCATTAAACCTCGCGTCCAGCGCACAATGCGATATTCTCTTTAAATATATTTTATCGCAGTTAGAGGGGAAAGCCGAAACGGCTTGCTCTCTGAAAATTTTTGACAGTTGGGTTGAACTAAAATCATTCCTTAAGACTACATTCGGGGAAACTAAACATAAAGATCACTTATTATTAGATTTACAGAGCTGCAAACAAAAACCTAACGAATCCATATCACAGTATAGCTTACGGTTAGAGACATATTTAACTAGATTACAAACAGATATCACGCATTCTACCGTGGACCAGAGTGAACTGAAAGGGCGAATAGCAAATACTGAAGACCTAGCCTTACATACATTTTTATTAGGAGTACCTAGTCATATCTCCAACATATTAAGATGTAGGAACCCGTCTACCTTGGGTGAGGCAATAAATTTAGCCATTCAAGAAGAAAAACTTTATAACCTTGTCAAATCTACAAAAACCCTTGATATAAGACCTAGGTGTCGAACCTGTGGCCGCATAGGTCACATTGACAGAAACTGTCTGTTAAATAGGCAGCGCCCAATTCACAACGTTTCTTTCGATAGACCTTCCACTTTGCAACCACCACCAACTAATATTTGTCGCTATTGCAAACACCCTGGCCATGATATAAAAGACTGTCGTAAAAGACAATACGACAACTCACGGCAGAATCAGAATAGACAAATACATAACATATCAGGGGAATATATTAACAATACTAATTATAACGACAACTTTTCACAACCTTTTAATAATAATTCTTACTATTCCGAGTCTTTAAACTAAAAAGAGTTCCGCCTGAGCGTCGTCATACGGAACCATTGAACTATAACGACGCCATTTACCATGTCAATGATCAATCTATCATAAGTCCTCCTATATCCAATAACTATAATAAATTTATCAATTTTACTAAGTCCACTGTATCCGCTAACTCCGCTGTATCTACTATTCCCAATGAACCTACAATCGCTATTTCACCTACTATTTCCACTGAATCTACTAATTCCGCTGTATCTACTAACTCCACTGTATCTACTAAATCCGCTGTTTCTACTAATTCCGCTGTATCTACTAACTCCGCTGTACCTACTAAATCCGCTGTACCTACTAACTCCGCTGTATCTGCTAATTCCAACAAACCTATATGCTCCACTGTATCTACCATTTCCGCTGAAACTAGTACCTCCACTGTATCTACCTTCTCCACTGAAGCAACCAATCCCGCCGTATCTACTAGCTCCACTGTATCTACCACTCCTAGTGTATCTACCAATTCCACTGTGCATACTACCATTTCTTCCGAACTTATTAAACCCTTTCAACTTAACACTACTGCTAGCAACTTAGATACATTTACTAATTCCAATATTCCTTGTAAATCCACCGAACCCCCTAACTCAACTAAAATCTCTAAACCCACTGCATCTTCTAACTCTGGCCTACCCCGCATTTCTAGTAAACAAACTAATCCTGCTAAATCCCGTAAAAATCCTATACCCCGACATAGAAAATCGAACTCAACTACTGAATCTGTCAAAGCTTCTTGTCCTAAGCCAAAGAAAACCCAGAAACCTAAAAGACACACAGAAACCGAAGAACAATCCAATACTAACTCGCAACCATTATACATACACGAAATAAATTACAATTCCAATACACATTTGCCTCATATATATATAGACTCTCAGTACTCTTCTAAACCCCTAATACTTCTGGTCGATTCTGGTTCCACTGTATCCTTACTTAAGAAATCTTCACTAGAAAAGCAACCTACCTTAGTGAAAGAAATTATCAAATTCAAAGGTATAGATAAAGATGCCGATCATTCTATTAGTTTAGGTCATTTCCAATTAGATATTATTCTGTCAAATTCCGAAACCATATATGGAACTTTCCATCTAATTCCAGACTCCGTTGAGATTAATTTTGATGGTATAGTAGGAAACGATTTCCTCAGATTATGTACCTCCAGCATTGATTACAAAAATGATTGCTTATTGATAAATAATAGTAAAGTAAAACTACATTTTACCAAACCTCATTATGTAATACCAGCTCGTTCTGAAATGATAATAGAATGTGAAGCGTCTAATCCCGAAGTTTTATTAGGTTATGTAGATAAAAAGGAAATACAACAAGGTGTATACTTATCTAATTGTCTTGTATCTGTTAAAAGAAATAAACATATTAACGTCTCTATACTCAATACCACAGATGATAATATTACTATACACTCCCTCAATGTAGAATTAAACCCTTGCCATATCTTAAACGAATCATTTCCAAATCCAGTATCAAATTCACAGATTAACACTATTATTCCACCAAATAGGATATACAAAGTTAAAGAGCAAATTAGAACTTCCCATCTTAATGTCGAAGAATCCAAGGTACTCCTGGAACTATGTTCAGAATACTCAGACCTTTTCTATCTAGAAGGAGACCAACTAACATGTACCGATACTTTGACTCATGAGATTAAAACTACTAATTCCCAACCGATTCATGCCAAAACTTACAGGTACCCTGAGTGTCACAAAGAGGAAGTCAATAGACAGATTCAAAAGATGTTAAAAGAAAACATTATCAAACCTTCAAATTCCCCGTGGTCTTCTCCTATCTGGGTTGTCCCTAAAAAACAGGATGCCTCCGGTCAAAAGAAATGGCGTATAGTTGTCGACTACAGAAAATTGAATGATGTTACTATCGGAGACGCGTATCCAATACCTAATATTACAGAAATATTAGACCAATTAGGGCATAGTAAATATTTTAGTACTCTAGATCTTGCCTCTGGTTTCCACCAGATTAAAATGCACGAAGGTGATGCATCTAAAACTGCTTTCTCTGTTCCCAACGGTCACTACGAGTACACTCGAATGCCGTTTGGCTTGAAAAATGCGCCAGCTACATTTCAGAGGTTAATGAATACGGTGCTATCTGGTCTTCAAGGCCTTCACTGCTTTATTTATCTTGATGACGTAATCATCTATTCCCATGATCTAACTTCCCATATTCAGAAACTCAAACTCGTCTTTGATGCTCTCAGAAAACATACCCTTAAGTTACAACCGGATAAATGTGAGTTCTTGAGAAATGAAGTTGCTTATCTTGGACATATTATCACTAATAAAGGTGTATCCCCCAATCCTGATAAAGTCAAAGCCGTGTCTTCTTATCCTATGCCTAGAAATCCCAAAGACATTAAATCCTTCCTAGGTTTAATAGGGTACTATAGGAAATTCATTAAAGACTTCTCA